TGGTGTGGGAACAATTCCAATCAACCTTTCAAAATGCGCTCGCAGAAGCAAGTCGAATGCCGGCTATTTCTGCGCAAGGGGATGAGATCCAAATTGAAGGAGAAGGGCCGATTGGGTGCCTCGCAGCTTGTGCCAATGCGTGTCTTGCACATTTGCTGCGAACTAGCTCTACACCGGCATTGGCTTTTCCACAATCAACCGAACTCTTCGTGGCAATTGCACACTCCTTTCAAGAGATATGTCAGAGCCCCCATCGGGTCATTCGGGCTTTTGCAATGGAACCAATCTTCTCCCTGCATAAAACACTGGTGCAGCATGCCCTAGAGTGTGAAGAAGGTATCCACCCGCCTTTGGACCCTGGGTTGCAAGATGCCGTGGTCGAACTTTTTGTTCGTTGCGCCATGAGTCTTGCCATTGCTTGTGGGTATTCGGCGGATTATTTCCAGGACTTTGGTGCCATGAGCGATGAGGATCTGGAGATTGAGCGCAACGATGTGAGGGACGTCATTCGAACTGTGGCTGTGTCAGAACGTGGTGGTTCTACAGCTTTTGCCGATGTGACACGGCCTCCGCTGGAGGTGACGCTGAAAGTCCTAGCCAGACTATTGCATGCCTGCTTCGAGTCAATCGATGCTTCCCGGAAAGCCAGTCAGTTGTTTCACGAAACGGCCGTGCATTGCTACTCGGCTTTGGCAAAATCTCTGAACCAGCTGTCAAAGTTCTATGCAAAGACTGGCCAACCATCGGTCGCTCCGGAAATTCTGGGACTGGCCCTTCAAATCATGACCACGTCGCTTCAGATTGTGATTGAAGGATTCACTTCGTCGTCTCTGCAGGACCTTTTTCCTGTCAGCCGAATTGCCAACCTAGCAATAGCTGCTTTGTCGCCGATGATGTCAAACTTGTGCACTATACCAAGATTTGAAGAGGACGTGAAGGCGGCTTTGAGACTTTCATTGAGTGTCGCTGCCATGTCCGTGGCGCAGATTCCAGAGCTTGCAACTTCGTCTGAGCTGGGAAATGCAACTTATGACATTCGTGGGGCAGCACGAGGGCCGGGTGGTGAGTTGTGAACTCTGTTTTGCATTGCCAGGGCTTGCTGATGTGTAGCCTTTCCCAAACTAGCGTTTCTTGAGTACGCTTTGCTGACCCTCCTCCTCCTCTTCTCTTCCGCCCGCTAGGTGAGGATCACGTGGGATGCCTGGCCATCATGAGGTTGACATTCGAATCAGAACAACTGGCAGGAAAGCTCATCGAGGCAGCGGGCACTGACATATCGCAGCTGGGCCAACTACACTCTCAGTTAAAGTCAATTGAAGTGAAACGCGGCAAGGGGATTGTTCATGGCGAAGGGAGCACCCCAACGTCTAGAAGAATCCTTTTGGGTGTCATCTGCCACTTGGAAATCGTCTCCAAGGGATCAGCAGGTTGCTCATCCATGCTGACCGAGATTTTTCACAATGCCTTTTCGTCAATTGCCAGTTTCGCCAATTCGGACCAGTCATACCTGGATGACGACAAAGTGATTTTTCAAATCTGTGAATCCACCTGGGATCTTGCTGCGTTTTCGCCTATCATCGTCGAATCTCTATTCGCTTCGGAAGGGGAGCATGCGACAACAAAACTTGATTGCTTGAGGGTACTCACAAAATGCATATGCCGCGGGTATGAAAGGCCGTCAATATATGACGAGGGGACGCAGCCAGCTGCCGTTATTATGGTTGCCATGGAGGTAGGTACATCCCGACATGGCTCGTGCTCGCCTTTGCGCTTGAAACCTCACTGAATCGTAAATCGTCAATTCGTTTGCTCTAGTGGAACCGTTTGAGAGCGGGTTTCTTTGCGTTGCTGAAGACAAGCATATCAGCAAAGATGCCACAAACTCTGTTTGAGAGTGTTGAGGCAATCATCCGATCCGAGTGTGAAGCTGCACAAGTTCAGTGCCAAGCAGGTCCATCATCAGGATCCTCAATTTTCAATGATGAGGTGGTCTCTGCTGAGCATATCCCGGCTGGACTCTTTGTTCGCATTATTCAAGAAATGATCGAGTCTCTACAGGAAAAACCAAACAATGAAACAGCTCTTGGAAGCTGCGTGACGACACTCGAAAGAGTCAAGCCATATGTGCTCGGCGCAGTAACTCATCCATGTCAAGACCCGCAATGCTTCGCCGATCCCCGTCCTGCACTTTTTGAAGCTTGGTTCTTGGTGATGGCGACGTTGTCCAACAAGGCAGCCACGTTGCAGGTAGGAAGTGAAGCTACCCTCCGAAACCTGTTGGTGGACTCTTGTGTTGCCGCGATTTCCCTTCTGTTCAGCCCTTTCCTCAGCAAAACACGAGATCTACGAAGCCAGAGTCCTTGCCTCAGCTTTGAAGGACCCCAAACACTCGCGTTGATGGAGTTTCTCTGCAGCTACTTTGCATTGGGACCAGCCATGTTGCAACCTGCATGCCACGAATTGATTCGGAGATTCCCGATTGATACTGCAAAGGCAAACCAATTCACCACGGACGTACAGTGTCATAGTGTTGCCATCATTGGAGCTGCACTGTACAGGGTTGCACAAGGAGCATTGCCTCCATGGTCTGTCGAATCCATCCATGAGGTCTATGCCGCGCTCTTTCTTGCTCTCAACAGAGATGTGAATGCCTTTGGCAGCATGTTGCATCTGGGAATGGAAATCCGTCTTGCACCGGGCGCCAATAGGGGGGGTGTCAAATCCGAGGAGCTTTTGTCGGGCCCTCTCTTTGAGGGGGTCAAGCAGCCTGCCAAGCAAAGGTTCGTACAGGAGTCCGTGGAGCTGTGCAAACAAGACAACAACGGCGCCTGGAAACGGATGAAAGTGTTGTTGAAGAAGTTTTGTGGTGGAAAGAAGATTGGTACAGATTTTGCCCAAAAGTCATCGCCCACAAACTGGCTGTTTGAAAGAGTTTAGAGATTGCATTCTTAACTAGCTAGCTAGTGCTATCTTCCAAGAGAGCATGATGTTTCAGCATGGCTTATTACACTGTAGGTCAATGCAAACTCGCCACGGCTCTCAATCAACTGAACCTACTACGATGTAGCTAGCTACTAGCCTCTTCCTCTTTCCCAATTGGAACCAGAGCTTGTTCTGATTCTATCATTTCAAAAGCTTCCTTTCCATACTTGTAGCCAGCTCCGCCCAACGAAACAACGTAAAGCACCACACCCAAAGGCCATGGAAAGTTGTCCATGTACAAGACCCCTCGCGCCATGAGACTGGCAAAGAGCGGAATGGTCAAGAGTGCCAGAATCTCGGCATTGATGAGTGTGGTGATGCGCTCCACGAGAGCATCGGACAGCGGCGCCAACGTTTGTCCTTGTTGTCGCGCCTGATCTCTTTTGAAAAAGACAATGGCCGGGAAAAACGAGAGTCCTCCCAAGACGGCAACACTACTCATTTTCAACCAGAAAATGGGTTCGTGTTGATAAAAGTCCCATCCCTTGGCAAATTCGGTCACGCGAAAGTACCCTGAAATAAGCAAGGAAAATGCCGAAAGCCCGTAAATGCCATCGGCATTGTTGATTTTGATTTCATCCTCTTGACTCATGTTCTTTTTAATCAAGAATCGTTCCGTGATCAAACCTCCTGCGACGCCCACAATGCCGATAAAGTGCAGCTACGCCAAAATGGCGCTGGGGACAGGACCTGCCGTGGCCCATGCTGGAGTGGGAGTTCCCAGTACTATTACTGCTAGTAGGAGTGAGGCTATACCGGCGGCCGTATTCAAGGATGGCGCTTCCTCATTGTCACTTCTGTCCTCGACCAGGAGATTCTCGGGTGGATTGCCTTGCTTATTATTCGAGGAGGTGAGAGGATTTTGAGGGACGCGAAGAGCCGCCAAAGCAACTTGCAGATTCCGGCTTTGTCGCTGTGGATGGAGAGGTTGAAAGCCATAGCCTCCTTGATGAAGCCAGCTGGAAAGCAACAGCGTGAGGACGAGGCGTTTCATACCCATCATCTTGGTGTCCAGATTGGATGTCAGGGGTCAGCGATTGTAAAGATATCGATGCTTTGGGGCTGAAGCCAAAGATACCTTTTCAGTACCATTTTTGCTTCCACGTGGAAGTCAAAAGATTTAGAGTTGTAAAAGTCCGAGGTAAAGGAGGATTGCCATCGTGTTGCTCTTTAGAACATCAAACACAGAGAAGTCCATTTTAAGTCAGCGGGAGCTGCGATACCTCGGCAGAAAGACAGATAGAAGAAGGAGGATCATGTTCGAGATTGCACCTCTCTTTGAAGCCAGCCCTGGCGACAACACCCGACTACGTCGTGTGTTGCCGCCCGGTATCATTCATTCCCTCATTGCAACCTTCTTTATTAAGCTAGCCCTGGCGACAACACCCGACTACGTCATGTGTTGCCGCCCGCTACTCTATAATTTACCAGCTGCCATTCCCTTATTGTAACTCTAACCTTTACAACTCCTGCTGGCTTATTGTGCTGTTGTGCTGATTGCACTAACCTTAAATATTAATGATTTATTCCTACCCCTAACTTGTATTGAACCATCAATGTTCAGTTTTGTTGGCTTATGACTATCTCTATCCTTATACTTTGGCTTCACCGGAATAGGAAATAGGAAATAGGAAATAGAAAATAGAAAATAGAAAATAGGAAATAGGAAATAGGAAATAGGAAATAGGAAATAGCATTAAAGGGGTTGAGAACTCAGGCAGTTTACCTGCCGAGGTAATTAACTATTTTTCTGTGATCTACCGTATCTACAAGTATCAACAGCATGTCAACACTCTCATCATCATCCTCATCAGCTACCGCAGGCCGCAAGCGGCGCAGTGACACGTCTGTGGTCACTTCCTCTTCCACTGCAGCTGGGATTCCAGCCTCTTCTGGCTCCAAAGGGTCCAAATTGACTGTCCGAATCAAACGACATCATGCTGTGTCACAATGGGTCTGGGGTAAGTTGATACTATACTACTACTTTATACCATTTTGGTTATATTGGAGAGGAAATCCTGTTGTCTCACACATCTTCTTGGTTGCATGTTTCTATCATTGGTGTTACTACTTTGCCTACGCTCACAGGAAACCATGATCCCAATGAAGTTTGTGGTATTTGTCAATCCGCTTACGAAGGTGTTGCCCCCGGAGGAAGATGGCCGGGAGAGGATTGTCCCGTCGTATGGGGAAAATGCACACACAGTTTTCATCTACAATGTGTCGTCACTTGGCTCAATGGACCCACGGCTCGTGAGTGGACAGATGTCATTTATTTATTTCCTTTCATGTCCAACCATACTGCATCGTTGCCATTCCACTACTCACTTGGTTACTGTTACTTCCTTGTCTTTTGAAGGAGGAACATGTCCCATTTGCCGGCAAGAATGGGCACTCGAAGAGTCACCTTCTGGAAACTAATCTCAGTTAGTTCCACGCCCCGAGCTATGAACTTGAAATCGAATTATACAGCAACAATCAGCTTCTTGATCCACTGGGCTTGTTTTTGGCCTCTGTTGGCGGGGTTGGAAGAGCTGTTGGAAGATGCCCATGTGCTAGTTTCTTATGCATTGGTGGTGCGCGGTAGTCAAGTCAACACGGTCAACAACTGCGGTGCTTATGCAAGACCCTCTGATTTTCTAAACGTCTGTTTCGTGCTATCTGCAACAGTTACTGCATTACACTACCTTACTGTATCATCGTTTTGAAAGGTCCCAGATGTCAAGAGACGAATCGAATCTGACCAGCCAACTCCAACAGGTTGGCCTGGCAGAGTTCCATAATCTAGCTCCTCCGTTTCTTCCCCTCCCTTGTGGGCGGAAGTTTCTTGAACTTAGGTTTTAGTCGGCCATCCCCATCCTGATCAATCACAAATTTGCCGCATTTGTTCCCGCTCCTGGTTAATTGCCTCCGCATTCCAATTCTTTGGCGCAATGGTGGGTCAGAGTGGAATTATTAAGTGACTCAATCCAAACTTTCTTGACCAATGGCAGATACCGTACATTCAAAGCGGTTGTGTGCTTGGGCCGTCGGCATACGAGTATGGCGAGCATGGTAGGAGCAGTAAAGGCACTGCACTGGGATGCCAGGGTGCCCAACTATATTATAGCCAAGAAGGTGGAGATCTTCAGCATGTTCGCTTGAGGTTTGTGGGAAGCTGTGTGCCGGTGGTTGTAAGTTCGGTATTATTTCTTTTTTTAAGAAAGTTTGAGTGTAATAAGGATTTAAAGGAACTTTTTTGAGGCAAGTCCGTCCGCTGTATTAAAATATTAAAACAGCTGCCGGTATACTAGTACCGGTACCTTCCAGAAGTTTCCAATTTTTAGTCAGGCTTGGGTTTTATTCAGGCTCTTGCATACCGGTACGGACGTTATCGACTGTGTGCTGTGTGGTGTGTGGGTGCCGGGGGTTGTGACATGAGGACATTGCAGAACAAAGGTGCCCCACAGTGCGCCACACCAACCACTCACCCACTGCCCACTGCTAACAACAGAGCAAAACCATGACGGAAGTAAAGTGCAACAAAGCAGCTCTACAAATAGAGATCAAGGTGGGTTGGCGGGGTATCGTGCTGATAGGCTCATGCATTTTGGCCCTCCTTGCCATATCGCAAGAAGTCTATCAAATTGACGTGCCAGACATTCGATACAACGTTTCCAGATCTGGCGGCATCAGTGTCATAGTCTCCTTTGATGATGGAGATGCTTCTGGGAATCCTGCCGTGGCCACAGACAATCAGCAGCTTGCCACTGTGCTGCCCCTCGAAACAACAAGAGAAACACTTGAGATGAATTCCGAACCGACCAGGCAAAAAGATTCTCCAAAATCGACGGAACAATCATCCACAGCCGAGATTCCAGGGGGAGAGAAACAGCCCGAGCAAAAGACCAAGACCAAGAAAGAAGACGAATTGGCCATCATCGTGGACGGAAAAGCAGAAATATCTAGTGATACCACTACAGCAGCAACATCAGACACGTCAAAAGCAGCAGCTGCAGACATAGAACTGTCATCAAAAGCTGCACAACAAGTAGCTCCCCAGGAACAGACAGAACAGCCGAAGCAAGGCGCACCTCCAACCAGCAAGCAAACGTCGCCAGGATCAGATGGCAATGTAACTGGAACAAGCATAGCTGCGGAAGTAACAATCCCACAAACAGATACCGGTAGTGACGGAAACAAAACCCTGGTCATTATCATGGGCACTGCGACAATACCATTGTGGATTGATTAATCTAACGATCTAAGAGATGTAAAGTTTGTATTTCCAAATAAGTGAGCAGTTATTGATTATTTTCTAGAATAAGCCTGCTAATTGTAAAGCTGTAAAGCTGAATTGTAAGCTGTATCCCGTCGCACTCCCTTACAGCTGAAATGAAGCTGGAGCAAGAAACGATAGGAGAGAGTCCCAGTCAGGACAAATCCAGTGCGAGACTTGACGGACACAGGATCCTGATCATCCTCATATCCATACAATCCGGCGAAGTCAGCATCGACCCAACAATCAAGTCCCTGATCAAGTTTAGGGCTAAAACAAATGCCTTTGTCACTTGTGCCAATCAGATACCGAATGACGTTTGATTGCTTGAGCATGGGAATGCCTGGGATTGTGACTGAATCGTGCCACCTGGTGCACACTAAAAGTGATATATAAAGAAGCATCCCAACTGCAGCTGGATAGCTCCACTCTTCTTCAAATGGGGCCCCCAGTTTGTCAGCTCCGAGAGGATCGGTGCTGCCATCTGATACGACCGTAGTCCTATTCCCAGCCGTCGTTCGTCTCGAAAAGGGACCAGAGGGCGCCATGGTGGGCCTTTCTTTTTCGAGTGGCTAAGAAAACGGCAAGTTTACTATAGAATAAACAGTACTAATTTGAGAGTCAGTGTGCGTCCGAAAAGGGCGTTTCCAGGTCGCTGACAGGAGTTGGTTTGGAGCCACATGATGTGAAAACATTACTGCTGGCTTCCCACTGTGTCTGTCTTTGGTGTGTTTACACAGTAGTGCTGGTTTCTCAGATTGTCTGTCCCTGGAACAAGTGTGCTGCCTGGAAGTGTTTCACTCTGGGATATTGTATGGTTGGCCTGTGCTCTAAGTCTTTAGGCATGACTCATAAGTATCTTTGGGCATGACTCCTAAGTATCTTTGGGCAAGACTCCTAGATGATGGAAGATACTATGAGGTCTTGGGACAAGCATGATTACTATATGTTTGATGACATTATGAAGTCCTGGACTATGAATGTCCCTATATATCAATGTTTGGTGGTCAGGTGAAGTCCTGGATGAAGGTTTATATGCAAAGAGTGGCTGGAAGTCCCATTTACGGCCTGTAGGAAGTCCCATTTCGCGGCCATTCGAAATGTGCCACTGTATTTGACTTTAGGAGCCCTGTGTGCTCACAATTCTTAGTTTAGCATAACAAATAAGTGTACCTGTTGACCAGGACAAAGGATTGTACCTATTGCACCTGATAGCACCTGCTATTTGCACCCAAACTACCTTGAAACCCGTCTTGAGTTGACCTCAAGACTTTGCCAGATTAAAAGTTCGTGTTGTTCTGAGTAACTGACAAGATGGCATCTGAAGATGAAGACAGCCCTTCCAAGGCCAGCCTGGACCTAGCAAGGGATGAAGCTTTGGCCGGCTTCATCGCGGAAATGACCCCCAGGGAAAGGAAGAGCTTCGAAATCATGGAGTACCTCGTGATGGAATGCGGGGAGTGCTCCCTTGAACTACTACTGTTCATTTGGGGTATGAGTATCACTACCCCTACCAAGTTGATCCGCAACTTCAGCAAGGAGGCCGCGGAGGAGTGGAAGGAAGAAGGGATACCCAAGCAGATCACTTGGGTACAGCTCGAACAGCTGGATGCCCTAACCCAAGCCCTCAACACTTGGAAGTACCGATCCACCACTGGAAGACCTCGCAAGATGGATATCGAATTGGGAGACTGGAAGGAGAACTTTGGACCCGACCAAATCGAGGAACACTACGAGGACAAGTG